ACAGACCGGCCCGACAAAGAAAGGAGAAGTTCTGATAATAACACACTCAGAGGGAGAGGGACTCACCTCACTGCTCAGGTAGACATTACTTCACTCTAGCAAATTTGTTTGCTCCAATGTTCAGAATGTTAAATACAGCTCCTTTAACATTCCTAAAATATGGTCAAATATAATCATAAAGCTATTAGGCTATTGTTAACAAATATGTAAACAAACTTATTCTATGTTCCACAAATACTCCATACATATAGCATGACAGAGAATGAGTCATAAACATGAACAGATAGGCTTATATTGGTGTTAAAAAACATTTTCGTCACACTGTGAAAAATGACCACAGCTCAGCTGTTCATAATAACACTAAGCAATCTGAAACCTTTGTATTGACATGAAAACATTTTTATTAGCTGGAGAAACAAAACATAAAGTCATCACTTTGCCGAGAGCGTCACTTCAAGGTAAAGTCACTTGAAGTAATGTGCTTTGTTTGTCATAAGGAAGAAAATGGAAGAAGGTAAATGCAACATTTCATTTATCGTGCAGATTGCTTCAAGCTTTGCCCTTTGTGGATGGTGTTGGCACCATCTGAATAAAGTTTTGCTCTTGATGTTTCATTTGTTTTCTTAAAGTTTTGCTGAATTTGCATATTTACCGTATCCCCAGAAGGCCACCAACCATCTGGTCGAGGTTTGTTCCACGTTTGATGTGTTGTCTGCCGGCACATCCCCCCCATCGATGTTGGAGAGGAAAGAAACTGACTGTGACTACACAAAAAAGAGACTGAGGACTGCAAATAATGTAACAGCATCGAGCTGCTGAAGCAATTACAGGTATAGCCCGAGCCGGGGGCAGACATCTCATCAATAAAGTGGACAGGACTGTTACTCTTTGGGTGGTCACTTTCATGAACACCCTTCATATCTCTCCCTCGGTCTCCCTTTACAATCGCTCTCTCTGTTGGCCGACCATTAAAGTGATACTCCACCCAAAATCTATCTTCTGACACTCATCGCTTAGAGACTCCAACAAGTTTTGTTGGAGTAATGAGGTCCCTAAACAGTCTTGGAATTGCATGAATTGGGTATGACTGGAAAGCTGAGACTCTTGTGGATCCTTGATGTCACCTTTTAATTAATTAATAATGTATTCATTCATTCATTTTTATTTATGATTAATGATTAGGACCACTTAACATACACTGCTGAACTGCAATTCAACTGCATCTGTGCATCACCCTTCAAAATGAGAAATGAGAAAAGAAAGAGATCCTGTGAGGAGATGGGAGAAGCTTCCAGAAGGACAACCATCAGTGAGACACTCCACCGACGGCAGACGGAAACCTCAAGTCAGTGAAAGACACACGAGTGCTTGGAGTTTGCAAAAAAAAGAGAAAGAAAAAAAGGAGGAAAAGCACCTAAAGGCCTCTCAGCCTGTCAGAAACAAGATTGTCTGGTCTGATGAAACCAAGAGTGAACTGGTTGGCCTCAATTTTGAGCGGCATCATAACAAAATATGAAAAAAAAATGAAGGAATGCATTCTGAATGTAGGCTACATGTACAACACACACACCAAACACACATCTCAAGTGCAAGCACACAATCAGTGTCCTTTGTGTACATCACAACAAGCTGCTGTTTTGACTTGTCGGTCCCCAAAACTCTACTCCTCAACAGGGGAGCACTTTTTGTCCCCCTTCCCTCTGTGTAATCAATTCGCTGGTACATTAATCTCTCTCTCCTCCCGAGACCACCTTACCCCTTCTCTCTCTCTCTCTCTCTCTCTCTCTCTGTCTTCCCTTAGGTCTCTCTCCCTTGTTAATTCAGACAGACCAGCACTCCAAATATAGAAAACCAAAGCTGTGTGTGTGTGTGATTGTGTTTATGTAAACCAGCCTGCATGTGTGTGGGTTGGAGGATGATGGGGGGGGGGGGGGTGCCTGACATGTGAATGTGTGTGGGTGTATTTGTGCGTCTCACGCTGAGCTCTCTCCATTTTTGATCGTCCTTGTATCCCTTTGCATTTCTTCCCCTTTTTGTAGGATAAATAATTCAGCCCCTCAGAGCTGAGAGAGCGGAGGGAGAAAATTTCGTGGAAAAAAAATGAAAGAGCCATGAGCCCACCGACTTCCTCCATGTACTGGAGCACAAAGGCTGCATTTCCTAGCCGCCCGTAAAACCCAGCCGTGCTGCAGCGCGCACACGCGCGCGCACACACACACACACACACACACACACACAGACACTCAAATCAGCCCTCATCAGCTGTGTGCAGCCCAGACGGGAGATTGAGCTGCTGCATTTGCATTTTGCCGAAGATCTCTTGTTAGCCCTTGTCTGTAATGGAGATAACAGATTACATCTTGCTAAAATATCGATACCCCCCCCCCCCCCACACGGCTGTTTCACAACAAAAAAACAACAGCAGGCTTGAGAGAAGAGCATCCTACTTCAGCATCCTACTTTTTCCATATCTGAATTGGATAAATTACAGGAAATGTTATGAGACAGCCACACAGATTCAACACTTGCTTGCAATACTTATGTTTCAGAGCTCCAAAGTGATTGTGTTTCCCCACCTCAGTGGGTATTGGATTAACTGTGTTGTCCCTATAGATCTACTTACCACCCCAGGCTTTAGTACTACACTCCCCCTCCTCCCCCTCCTCTCCCTCCTTCATCCTCTCTTTTTGCTGAGGTAGCCGTTCACGTTGAGGTGTTGCAGCACCAGTGCCCCTTAGGGAAGACAAAAAGAAACACAAGCTTTCCAACAATATGAAGTCTTGCTCCATTTATTTGCCCGGAGCTTTTTTTCTCTTTCCATCTCATCAAGAATCTTGTAATTGAAGTTAATTTCAAGCAGTGTTTCTGCTGATATAAGGCCTCTGCATGTGACCGTCCGTCATCTCACTGCGGGGTGGGTGTTTCCTTTTCACCTATAAGTCGTCTCAATCCCCCAGTTAGCTCATTATTCTCTAATCGGCTTCTAGAAAATGACTGACGGACACGTCCCTCAGCATCAGACAGTGGCATAACACTCAGACTCACAAGTTGTAAATTGGGAGTAGATGGTGGTGACACCTGAAGAACAATTTCAGTAATTTTTGGTGACATAAGGAATGGACACATCAATAAAATGAAAAACAGGTTCATCCAAATTACTAAATCATTATTGCAAAATTGTACATCAATTAATCAATTTAACTATTAAACTCAAAGACTGAGACTTGACGTGATGGATCATTATGGCCTTTACAGCAACTAAGAAAAAAAACATCTTTCATCTTTAGAATGGGGGGCCACATTTAGAGGGCCACATTTAGAGGGCCACGTACTGACGCACTGGATTGGTGAACTTGAATTTGGAGAGGATGGGAATGTGATGAGGATGATTTGGTCTGGTTGGATTATTTTTTGCATGCATTTTGCCTTGTTTACCTGCTTAACACTTTTTGTCCCCAGTTGAATTTCTTGAATACGTTTTAATGCGTTTGAGGGCTGAAAATGTCCGCTCGGCAGAGGCAGCAGATATTGGGATTGTCACCGCCCAACATGTCAGGCCAGCAACATGGGTTATGATGTGCCATGTGATTGGCCAGCCCACTGACCAATCACGTATGGCTAGGCCAGCTAGCAGGCTCTGGCCCAACATGTCAAACTAAAGATCTGATTGGTTGAAGACTATGACAATCAACAATATTGTCCTCATTTACTTAAACTGCAAAGGGATTCACTTGTAAATCTGAAGGCCTCCAGGCAGATTTTTTTAACCTAGAGACAACATAGTGGTGAGATCTGATTGGATAAAAGCTCTACTTAAAACAAGCTGCGCTGGAAGCAGCACAACTGAGGAAGACAGTAGCTGTGCAATGAGATAATAAGATAATGGGAAAATATTTAGAATACATGTAGTGTATTTATGAAAAATTATTAAATTATAAAATAGCTATAACTTTGTGATTCTGTCTAGGCCAGCAGAGAAGGCTTTACTGGCCCTGACGGCCCACCACTGCTGAAACCACTGGCATTTTGTTTGTTGTTAAAAAAGGGCCCCAGAATTCTTACAGTGCAGTACAGTTTAAACCATGAGAGATGTGAGGGAGGATGTGCTCAGACTAAGGAGAGTGTATTGATCCCTGCTTCATGATGGACTGAGAAGCCGCTTGTCACTCTGACAGCCAAAGACAAATGGAGCATTAGAGAAGCAGCTTTGCGGCTGTGCTGACCGGCTGGAAAGACCTGAAAAACAACAGCAACAACAACAACAGCAAAAACAGCCAAAAAGGTTAAACCGCTTCTGAGGGGAGGGGGATTCAAGGCTAAAAGCAGTGCACCTCATTAAATACTCAGCGTAAGCCCTGTGGATTTCATTCATTGCTGGTGTCCAGCGATGCCCGAGCTTTATCCCATGCGGCCTCCTCTGGAAGAGGCGAAATGAGCATGACCACGAGAAGCAGGGATGATTGTTTTTGCATCTTGGGTCTATTTTTTGACTGGAAATCTTAATGTGGGCAGCTAAAGTGGGTCACGGGGTGAAGCAGACATGGAAGAGCTGACACAAAGTGGAGTCATCCTCGCTGGGGGGCATCTCACTGCCTCCGCTCTGGTACACCACATATAAAGCCACTGCATAACACAACCCCCCCCCCCCCCCCCCACGCTTTTTCTCCACCTCCCCGCAGCAGCATCGATGAGATTCTCATCTCATTCTTGCACCTGGCTGCACAATGCGGATATTGCATTTGCAGCTTTGCTGCTGAGGCTAACATTACGCTCCAGTCTTAACCCAAATCCCGATTCCAAACCAAAATCAAGCCATGACCCTGTAATCCTCTTCAACAAGTAAGGAAAAGCAAAATGCCCTCACTTTGCATGTGTGTGTTGTTCTTCCCATCCTTACGACCTCAGAGGAACACGCACGTGCTCCAACAGGCTTTAGGACCCAGTATCTCCCCCGCGATAAGGTAGTAGAGCTGAGGAAAGGCAAACAGGAGAGGGTGAGATAGAGGTGGAGGAGGAGGAGGATGAGGAGGAGGAGAGGAAGAGAGCTACATTTGTAAAGTCAGAGAAAAGCTGAGAGTGGCAGAAGAAAGTTGACACCGCGTAAGATGCGCTGCGACCGCGACGAGGATTAATGAGATACCTGCTCGTGAGGATATAGAGCGCGAGCCGCGCGGGATGAGAGAGAGGATGCTGTGCAGGGGGAAGGGTCTTTGACAAAGCATGCACACCGCTGCTGCTGCCGCACAGGTGTGACAGGCGCATCCGCGTGCATTCACGGCCGCATCGGCACAGCCTCGACGGAGGGATGAAGACAAGTTGGATTCTCTGTGACTCAACGCTCTCGTTCCCTCTCTCACACAAACACGCGTAGGATACAGACAATCTGTACACACACACACGAACACACACACACGCACACTCTGCACATGCCCCCGCTGAGCGCGAGCAAATCAGTGTGGAACAGCATTCAGCCGTGTGGATGGTTAGAACCGGGACGCAGGATTCCCCCGTCTCTTCTCGGAGGACTCATCCCGAGGACCGGACAGGACTGGTCCGAGTTTAACGCGAAGGTGAGAACACATTTTTAAAAAAGGACCAGATAAGGAACGCTGTGCTTTGATTGTGTTATTTTTCTTTCTTTGACAACCTTTTATTAGCTTTCATGTTGCTTATTTAAAAAAAATGGGGCTATCCCCCCCCCCCCCATTTTCTCTGCTATTGTTCCATCACCCTTACTCCCTCCGTTGTGAAACAGCATGAGCAAATATTTTTATAAATACAAATAAATAAATAACAATATATATTGTTTTACCTGTATAATGTTGATATCATAACAATCACTCTATTCTTTTCTCTCTTTATTGATATATTGCAATTATTATTGTTTCATTTTACTATGCTAACATACCCTGAGCTAAGCTTCTAATTCTAACATGTTTGAAAGCATATTTAGGGAAGTGTTGCTGTTATTGTGCGTTTTGATCTCTTACAGTCAATTAAATATTCTATGGCAGAGTTCATAAAATCATCATTATTATTATCATCATCAAATATGATGCATGCTAAAAGCTTGGCACATAGACATAGTTAAATCATTTTTATCATGAAAAGAATGGGTGGTCTATGGGAGAGTGCATAAAATAGCAATATCTCAAATGCTTAGCAATACTTAGTAGGCGACACATGTTCCATGGGAAGGTGGTTGACCTATGGTGACAACAGCTGCACTGTGCTGCCATGTACGCTTACCCTAATTAAGCCTTTTTTTGGCAAACATCTGAGGTGTTGACAAAAGATTCTTGGTACAAAAGTTCCCCATTTGGGGAAGTGCGGCCTAACATATTGAAACTATAGTTACCGATAGCGCCACCATGTGGCTAGTTAGACAACTCTTAATGGGTCTATAGAAGCATGCTTTCACATTGAACTTGTTCAGCACATTGAATCTTTCTGCAGATACTCAAGTTTGACTCTCTGTGTCAGCAGTAACTTGTGAGAGTAGGTCTTGCATTGTAATCTCTGTTTTGAAATTAAACATTTCACTATTGATTCAAGGTGAACTGAGAAAGGGGATTCATGAATAATGATTGTGTTTCTGATGTCAATAAATCTGTCCCTGCAAATGAGACACATTTTATATTACTGTCACATAATGAAAAGAAGGATGTGATCGTGGGAGCTCCTCACTTTTCATTATTATTGAAACTAAACTTGCCACAGCTTCGTTTCTGTGTATATTCATGAAGATATACAATAGAGATGCTGCTTCAGAGTGTAACCGCAACAGCAGCAGAGCAACCTCCTCTTTTACAAACACGCATAGATCGGCTCCATTGTTCATGTTTGTGTAGCCGTTTGCTGCTGTACGACAGGCCTGCTGTGCAGCGATATACAAACACGTATAGCACGCTCACGCAGCATCCCTAAAAACCTGCAGGTAACCCGACACATCCGCATCCCTCAACACATTTTCATCTTTTGTTCAGGTAAACAAAAGAAATGTGAAAATGTGTTGCGGGGGATACTTTTCTCCACTGACTGCTGTGTGTGTGTGTGTGTGTTTGTAGGTCATTGTCAATTAGAGGCCAACAAATATGCCCTCCCTCTGTGATGATGATGATGAGGCCATGTAATACATCATCGCTCATGTAAAGATATGCGAGAGGCTAATTACCCCGTTGAGCTCACTGCCGCGCACCAACACTTGTCTTATTTACTTGTGAGGACATTTTTGTTGTTGACTGCTGCATACGTAATGTAATCCTTCCCCTGAAATTAGCCCAAGTACAATTCTAAACTTAACCAAAACCCAAGTAATCATAAACCCTCCAATGGTTTATCTTGTGTGGACCAGCGTTTTGTCTCCAGATTGAAAGGTGTCCTCACATTAATATTAATACACACACACACACACACACACACACACACACACACACACACACACACAATAAACAAATACATGCACATGCAATTCATTACGCAGATGTAAACACAGACATGGGTTGGGCCTGTTTAGCCTCGGTTCAGCATTGTGGTGTTCACAAACATTTGCACAGGTGTTACTATAACAAATTACTACATTTAAAACAATATATTTAAACAATAACAGGCTTCTGTTAGCCACTATTAAGCGTTTATGCTATGAAACTCCAAAAACACAATTTGGCATGGATGAAGCTTTATTTTTTATCATGTCCTTTGTTGTAAATCAATATCCACTGGTGAGCAAAATGAAATCCTGGCCAACAGAAATAATGGCTTCATAAAAAAAAAAATCTTATAAGTTGAGAACTGCCAATTCGAAATATGTGCAAATGGCTTGGGAATGTACACCACAATAATTCAAATAACCTTATCCTTCATGGTCAAATGTTTTGTCACACAGTAACATCCACATACTACCGGTAGACATGTGTACATTACATGTACATACATGTAAACCCTGGAGGACATATCTGTCAAGGAAGAACGAAACATGCACACTCAACCTCACGAACAACACAACATTACGAGCTACAGCCCATCTCCGTACAGTGTGTGTCCCGTTGCTCACAGATGCACATAACAGAACACTGAGTACAACATGCAACACGCTCTGCAGAGATTTCTGGAGCTGTTCGCAACATATTGCCAATGGGTAACTTCCCATTCCTCGGGCCTCACTGCACACAAGCACCAGCTGTGCGAGCAGTGTGTGTGTGTAGGAAGTGGGTAGTTATATATGTGAGCATGTAGGTATTCATGGAGGGTTTCAAAGGGTTTGTTTACTGCAGTTTGTGTGTGTCTAAAAGGGCAAAATGATGCAAAGCTGCAAGGGACTGCATGTGTTTGTGTAGCTATGTGAAGGAAATTAGTCTGTGTGTGTGTGTGTGTCGGAGGTTAGAGCGGGGCTCACCATTCACCTGATTAATGAGCTCACACTGTCATGCACACATTCAGCACATAGGGGTTCCAGTAAACCGCGTGCCCATGGCGTGACTGCGCTCATTTGTTATTATGGAGTAATTCCGTGGAAAGGATCCATCCTTCGCGGTGTAATGTGACAGAAACACATCCTTACTGGAAGGCACAGCTATCCGCCGGAATGATCCCATCCAGTTATTATCAAGCCGAGCAGAGGAACAGTAGGCTACTGAAATGGCAAATTAGCCCCTGCTTCATTTATCCTGCAGTGAGCGCTCCACTGGTGAATTCGTTTCCATAGGAACATGTTACTTTGGGCTTTCACGAGCTGTGCAACGCGCTCGACGCTGCCGCCTGTATTTTTTCTTCTTTTCCCTCATCTTTTCAGTTCCCTCTCTGCTCTTGTGAAGTCACTCTACATAGATCAAGGAAGAGAGAGAGAGAGAGAGAGAGAGAGAGAGAGAGAGAGGGTGAGGGGTTTGGAAATGCAATCAATAGGGCCATTTAACCGCCACTTGGCTTTTCACATTTTTCTTTGGCACATCTCGAAGCCTGCTCTGGTCTTATCAGCCTGACGTCGCTGCTCTCTCTTCGAGACGTCTTTTTTTCTCATTAAGAGCCTTCGGGCGTTTACAGCTCCCAATCTCCCACTAGCCTCTGTGCCATTTTCTTTTTCTCCGAGTGTGTTCACTGTACATGCATCGCCTCAGTCAGCTGAAATATTACAGCCATTACATGTTGCAAAACGACTGCGAAGTTGCTGAAAATCCACAGAAGGAGTCAGCAGCCACATTGTGACAGGGCCTTTTATCGAGCCATATTTCACTTTGGTTGCACATTCCCATGTCTTAAGAACACGCTTTATTTCCATGCGGCAAGTAGAAACTGTACAGAGGAAGACACATTTTTAAGTTTTGCACTGAGGCAAAGTCTTGGCTGGATTATTATGAAGAGGGGGGGAGGGGGGAGAGTCAGATCAAGGGGACCGGATGGATGGGATCAGAGTCAACTGTGTGGTTGAGGCACCAGACCAAGAGAGAGAGAGAGAGAGAGAGAGAGAGAGAGAGAGAGAGAGAGAGATGGGGAGGGAGCGGAGAGGAGCTCTTGTAAAAGTGTCGCCGGTGATTTGCGCCGGCGTCCTTGCAACCTCCTCCCCTCCACCTGACTGGATGTTTTATGAGCGTTGCAGAATCAGGAGCGGAGGTATAGGCTTATAATACAGCTGACAGAAGTCTTTTTTATGGTGGCTGGGCAGCGGTGCAACGGGGGAGGGAAGGGGGGTGTAATAAAGCTGAGTGCATCTCTCCTGGAATGAAACTGCGGGGGAGATTGGGACGGGACAGAAGAGAGAGAGAGAGAGAGAAGGGGGGGGGGGGGGGGGAAGGCCGGGCGAAGTATTACAAATGTTAGTGCGTGTGTGTGTGTGTGTGGGTGTGTGTGTGCGACACGCAACATATGTTCAGATGTGTGCGAGCGCGTTGCGAGAGGAGGGGAGGGGGGGGCAGTTTGCTCGGAGCCGTTGCTGACGTCACTGTGTTGAACGATCACTCAGCGTGTTCAGTATGAGAGGTACCAGCCCTCCATGAAAGGGGGGGGAGAAGCAGTGTCAACGCACAGGAGCAGAATGCAGCCCTCAGCGCCACGCCAGCCCAAAGACACCCAATTATTCTGTGTATTTTCCCCCCTTTCTTTTTCTCTCTGTGCTGTGCAGTGAGGCGCGCAACAACGAGTCATTGAACTGATCTGGAGCCTGTGAAGCACTCTGCCATGCAGAATGACTTACTTACTTACAGAGATATTATGTGGTTCATTCTTATTCCATTGGGAATGAAAAGACCGTTACCACTAAACACAGAGATGTTTCCCCCTCATCTCTTCTCTCAGCAGCTTGTCTCCACCACTCAGTTATGTGCTAATTTTAGATTTTTTTTTTAACATAAAGCCAGTCGAATGGGGGTTTAGCACCACTAGGTAATGTTTTGAAGTCACTTATCACCTTATGGGCCAATCAGCTTCATACATCCAACTATTCATCCATTTTCTAAGCGGCTTATCCAGTGCAGTCACGGTGGGGGCCGGAGCATATCCCAGCATGCATTAGGTGAGAGGCACATTAACGTTGCCTATACGTACTGTATGTTAAGCTAAGCAGGCTAGATTCAAAAACAAAAAGTAGAATGACATGCATCCACAATGTCATTTTTGTAAAGATCTCCATCAACACTGAAATGCCTGAACAGTATGAACACAGTAAAGCTCCCCATGGTCCTATTTCAGTCTATATACAGTCTCAGCTGCTTAAACCTCCTTTTCATCAGCTCTGGCTCTCTGTAATTACCCATTTCAATACAGTCTAATTCACTCTTTAGTTCTAAATCCTTTTTTTAAGTCTCTGTTTTGAAAAAGTCAAAAATTTGAATCTGTTGTTTCTACTTTCAGGGTGCCATTTTAACAACTGGCCTTTAATAACTAATGGACTGATGTTATCTTTTAAAGCTAACTCTGGCCATTTTACAGTTTGCCTTTGTTGATGCACTGTCCCTGTGAAACGAGCAAAAAGAAAATAACTTTGATTGCAGCTCATAAATACATGTTACCCAGACAAATAGTACTTCCTGCACTGCAGCATCGAAATGTCGATCAAATCAATATGTTACGAACGTGGAGCCGTCAAGAAATACATTAATGCAGCTGATTGACAACCGCTGTGCAGTATGATTGACTGTCTTGACATTTAAAATGAGAGATCACAGAGAAAGGTAGGTCACGGAAGGTTTATGACACAACATCCCATCAACATGTCTGGTACGACTTACCTTATGTCCACACTAAACCGCAATTTATATGCTTCAGACAAATCACTGGAGAAATACGCTTTTCAAGAAGGAACATGTCCACCTTAGTGTGAAACCGAGAGAAAGTTTCTTTCAAACTTAGCCATGCCTAGTGTGACCTCTCACCATTTCTCTACACATCAATAAGAGCAGACTACTTAGAAAGAAATACATATTTAGCTTTTACTGACAGGGAGAGACTCAAGTGCAGACACGGGACACAAGGAAAGTTCAAAACGGCCAGGTGTTTAGTGAAGAAGCCAAGCAGTCACACATGGTGGGTCAGTCCAAACAGAGCAAACAAATCCAGACAGGGAGAGTAGGCAGAATGCAGGGAACAAGGCAGAGTCTAAAAAACATTTAAAAACAAACTTACCCCAGAATTGCTGGAAAACAATGAGCAGACAAGGTAGAAAAAAGACAATCTGGCAGGGGGGCAACAGACTGATGGTAAAATCAGGGGCAGATGAGTAATTGAGGGCAAGGGTGGATAATCAGGGAGGCGGGAAACACACGAGAACTGAAACCACAGGACATGTTAGTGTAACGAAATGAAACGGTAAACCGATGAAAGAATGACACGGAATGAAAAAGATAACCCAAGGGCAGGAAAGAACACGACAGTTTCTAAGCAACTAGAATGTAGACACAATTACAATGTCCTTTCCCATTAGAAAACTAGCATGTGTCAGTTTTAAAGAGCTGTAAATGTTACATCGGCTACTGATGCTGGCGCTGTCTTGCATAAGGGATATCATTAATGCTTAGGCTACGTTGCAGCGCTGCGGTAACTAATGTGCCGAGTTACAGTGTGTCCCATGTTCTCTCCAACACCCGGGGACAGTTATCATTTCACACAGTAGGACTACCCTGCTGACGTCCTGTATCTGATGTGAAGTTGGGGTTGGGGTTAAGTTTGGGCATGTAGCCCAAGTAGTGTGTGTGTGTGTGTGTGTGTGTGTGTGTGTGTGTGTGTGTGTGTGTGTGTGTATGTGTGTGAGGAATAATAACTCTGGTCAAAACTGGAGCCTTGGCAAGTTAAGCTTGTGAAGTCTAAATATCTTGTGTGACCTTGCTCCTCTCTTAACAGACCTCCTCGTCGTCATCGAACAGGGTAGAGAGCTGCCCGACTCCTCGTCTGTCCCGAATGAAACCCTCTTAAGGTGGACGGGGGGGTACATTAAAAATACATGTCCCGAAGGAGCGCCGCCGAGCCAGGCAGTAAACACACGGCCATAAATCAACAGCGGGGGGACTTCTTGATTTCTTCCTCATGGCTTCCAGCAGCAACAGCAGAGGAACCGGCTTGTTGGCGACCCGCTGACCTGCCGACGTGCGCCATAGGATTCTATTTCTGGAGCCGCGTTGCTTTTACAGATTAACTGCCCTCAAATATGGCCCCAATCCGTTCTTTGCGCCACTAGTTTGACTGCTGCCGGAGGTTGTGCATGTTCAAGCTTCAAAACACCCCACTGTGCGTCCAAGTCATTTGGAGGGCCAGCGCAAACAAACACACCACTGTATGTCAAGACAGACTGAAAGTCTTTTTTGTTATTCTCTTCACAATCATTTCGCCACTCACAAAGTCAGTACCCATTTGCATCCAAAGCGGTTGTCGGGAAAGATTGACATCCAGAGCTTTCATGCTGATAACATGACCCTGTGCTTAGATTAGTAAGACTTTGTATTTTATTGCATGAGACAGTTTCCATGAGTTCCTGAGGGCAGATTGCACTGAAAACCCATTTCCTAGTGTTTTCGTTAGCCTGTCAGGGGCTAATCAAGGTCCTCCATCATCAGAATTTACATTTCCATATTGTATGAGAGAGAAAGTGGCCAACATTAGCATATTCATGACCGCTGACGCACTCAATCATGTGAAATGGAAGACGCGGGGCAAACCCCGAGCCATCAAGCCCTGAAACAAGTAGTTTGTGACATGTGAGGAAAAGAGGATCTCGAATCCCCTGCTCAACTTCAGCACACCCCATAGCACACAGGAGAAGGGTACCACTGGAACATTAAGGATATTTCATAAAGCCAGCATGTGTTGTCGGCCTCTGGACAGAGGCCTGAAATAAGAGAAAAATTAAAGAATAGGATTACGGATGGATTATCACTGAAACACTAAAGCCACCAAAGCAGCTGCCTTTGCGTAAACCCATTGGACACTCTTCAGGGAGTCGCTCGGCAGACCGATTTGTAGATTACATTCGGTTGTTGATGTGGTGGCCTCTTGTGCGGTTGGTAATAAAAGAGAGGGATGGAGAATATAGATGAGCTGGAGCACCCTCTTCTGGGAGAAAACCCCAATAACAGCCGGGCATCGGGGACGGGGCTGGGGCCCGGGACTGGACAGGCCCCTGGCGGGATGTTCAAGGGCATCTTGGTGAAGTGTGAGGAGGACAGGGCCTACCCTCCCTTAGCGTGGAGGGGCTATTGTGGACATCGTCCTGAGCTTCAGCAGCAGCAGCCACTGGACCCTTGCTCCTTACCGCGCACGCTGGAGTCCTTTTACCCGCCGGCTCCCATCTGGGGCCATGCGGACTCCCTGCTCAGCAAAGACTACCTGGAGACCACCTTTGTGGACATTCGGCCCGGCTCCACGCTGGAGAGGAAGCTGCTGGCCGAGACACAGGACTTCCACAGTATGTCCTACAGCATTGATGATGAGGACGACCTGCTCCCCGACTCTGACGTAAGACATCCCACTCACATGATGCTCAGAGTGTTTCTTTCATGTGTACTGAAAACAGAATTTTTCTATTTGAATTACAAATTGTCAAATCAAGCATTCATTTAAAACAAAATGATGACAACGTCATCACAACGCAGTGCAACTTATTCACCTTCTGCATATGCTCAAGAGAAAGACTAATAGGGCCGAAACCTGCGTTTATTTTCTTGTCTATTAAACGTCAGAAAATAGTCTCTGTCCAAGAGGACATCTTCAAATGACTTGTTTGTCCAACCGACAGTCCAAACGAATGATATTCAGTTCACAACGATATACAACAGAGAAAATTATCAAAATAGTTGCAGATTAATTTTCTTTAATTAATTGACTTATTGTTTACACACATAAATAATCATCATACCCGTCCATTTCATTTCTACCATGTCCTCTTCATGGCTTGTAGGAGTTTTGCATAAAAAGTAAGAGAGACTCTCCTACTCTCAGTACAGACTCCAGGAGCCAAAGAGGAACTTAAAATAGACATATGAGCAGTGCATTTCCGGGGAAGGCAGCAATTGAATGCTCACTGTCAAAAAGCCAGATTACATAAAGCTCCTCTCTCCTGCTGCGGTGCAGGTAATGACACTACAGTAGTGATGGAGGATGCCAGTTCTATTTCATAGATCACCGAGCAAAGCCCACCCTGGAGGGAGATGTAAATTAGCTTTAAGACTCTTACAGTGGTCATCTGACATGTTGGGAGTCAACATGAGAATGTATATGCTGTAAATGTCACAAGTAAGTAGCCGCTGGCTGTTTAGATAATTATGAAAATTATCTGGCCAAGATTATATCACAAAGGTCTAATCACCCACTGAGAACTAAAAGGCTGAAGGCCGTTTTTACAATCATTACTTTGATTAGCAAGCGGACAAACACACACACACACACACACACACACACACATACACACCGTTGAAATTAAGAGGCTGCTGCAAAGTTTCGGTGAGGAGTTTGCTCCACAAGGACAAAAGAACAGCACACAAAAAGATTTTTTTTCTCTCCAGCTCATTCTGAATGCTGGCAGTAGTGCAGCGATGCAAAAGGCGCAGGCCGGTGGGAATAAAATCTTGCAGTGACCTCAAAGAGGCACCACGCAACATCTCCGCCCTTGTTTCACTCCGAACCCCCAGTTAGAGGAGTCAGACTCCATCACTGCTTCATGCTGAATGATCAGTACGATGCCATAGCAGGAGAGATGACCTTCGGAGAAGTTTTAAAGAACCGTTTGTCTTGACGTACTCTTGATTTTCCCCTGACGGATCTTCTTTAATGTTAAAGCAGCTTTTTGTTTGTTTTTAAAGGGATGCTGGTCTACGAAGCATTTGCTCGAATGTTGCAGGAGCATCTTTGGAAAATGCACAATAAAACAAGCAGAGCAATGTGACAGGGTCGGAGTGAGAGAGAAGAAGTCGGATTGAATATGCAGCTGTTTCAAGAAGATGCATGAGTCACGAAACGCCTGCGGTCAGCAGAGCTAGTGCACATCCAGGCTAACCCCATTCAGTCACATTAGCTCACAGGCACCAGCAAAAGTTTTACAGTTGTGGAAGATGGGAGCACAACAACACAAGCACATTTATAATGCGTCCATAAAACACTGATTTAGCGTTAGAGCATATTAGTGTTTAATGCAACTTTGAGATTTAATAATACTAAACATTGTCGTATTGAAAAAATGATTAAGTTTTGAGTCCAAAGGGTCAGTTCAATTACAAAATAATGTATTGTACTCATCCTCATCTGGCTGTGTACATAGTTTTGGTTTTAATTGTTTTACCTCAATAAAGCTGATCAAAGTGGATAAATGCACTGTATTGCTAACTATACACCATTAAAAGCAAGAGCAATGGGCTGCCACAAAGTTCAGCTTGATTTGTTGTGCTCACGGCATTTAAAAATGACATTCAGGATATATTCATCATATATGTATGTGTCCTTCCAGATGCAATGTCCCGGTTACTCTGGAGAACCCACAGGTCTCCTTTGAATGAAAGAAAATGGTTTGCATTATGTTCTGTGGATTATCCAGAATAATGGGGACACATTTTATGGTGAGAGATTGCTGTTGATTTTCTTTCATGTCATTTCCAATTTCTGGTAAAAAAAAAATGTATTAAATTAATCTCCATCGCATTTGTGTGGAGGCAGAAATCCGAAAGACAAATATCTCAAATCCTCTGCAAACAAAACCACCTGTGAGGTTTCCTTCTGCAGTTTAACCTGAACTCAACCTAAGTGCGCTCTGTTTGAATCCCAGGACTCATCCATTGATGACTTCAGTGATACAGACAGTGAGAGCAACTTCCCTCTGATGATCCCTCAGGACTACCTGGGTCTGGCCTTCTTCTCCATGCTCTGCTGCTTCTGGCCCCTGGGCATCGCTGCCTTCTACCTTTCACAGAAGGTACACACATACACACACACACACATACACACACACACACACGCACACGTGCACATACGCACTCAGTCCAGCTGACAAGATACTACCTGGCACTGTAGTTCACAGCCACGGGTGATTTCATACCATTATGGGCATTATGGGTCTAAATTTAGTCCAGGGGGACACACCTATATACACCTATATTTGCAGGATTATGCAATGGTGATTGCAATTATGAAATGGTACAATCCAAAGGAGAAATGCATGAGGATGTGCTTTTTTTTTGTTTTGTTTAAATTTAGATAATATTTTAGAAATACTATTCAGAAACAGTGTCTCTCTCCCATAATTTAGACTGATTTATTGATTTATTGATTTACTTCATTGGGTCAATACATATCGTTGATAGATTTCCTTTCCATTATTGAAACATCTTGACCTTCTACTGCTGCTATGACTATTAAAGTTTCATGCATATTAATTAAAACATCTTCACAAAACATGATCTGTTTAATATATTTTAATGATATTTATACAATGCATTTTTACTAGTCAATTATCTATAAATCACCTTTTCCATTATATACATGTCCTCTACTATGTAGATCTTTTTATACAGAATCTTTATTAAGATGCTTTAAAAAACAACAACTCAGTGTCGATATTTGCATGAGATAAACATGTTCACAACCTTCCCATCACTTACATATATTAGTTAGTTGTGTGTGTATATATATATATATATATACAGTATATATATATATATATATATATATATATATATATATACAGTATATATATGCCAGTTTATATGTTTTCTCTCCTCTTGCTGTTCAAAATCAGTCTCACTCAGTGTTAATTTGATAGCTGAGATTATCAATCTCTTCTAAGACAAGGCTGATGGAAAAATGGAGCAGCCCAAAGGGAAAAGGGGACAACAACACTGCACCAACTATCTCATCAGTCACTATTATCAGTGACAGTGTGGAAAAGCCCATAACATCTCTATCTCTAGTCGCCAGAGGCCCCTTAGTTTATAAAGGCATCCTTCCAGCAGTGCAGGGGGGAGGGGGGAGAAACCCCATTAACGTTGTTACAAAGCTAACTGGCAGCAAGCTGCAAAGGCCTTTTGATCAGATCAATGGCCTTCGTTAAGGTTTAATTAGAGTCATAACAAGAAGCCCTAAAGTGATAGATTTCCAATATTGTTGATTGCCGCCTAAAACAGAGGTCAGAGTCAATGACGAGGACTGGAGGGGGAGAGGAAGGAGAAAGTGATGGAACATAATATGGGCTTAGCGTGTGACTGGAATGAGTGGAAGAGGAAAGTGGAGGCCAGGGAGGACATTGACAAACGATGACGAATGCCCCCCCCCCCACCCCACACACACACTTCTAATCCTAATCTTACTCTGCTGTCTCCTCCAGACCAACAAGGCCTCGGCTGAGGGGGATTTTCAGGGGGCCAACGCAGCGTCTCGCCAGGCTCTGTGGCTCTCGGTGCTCTCCATTGTGTTTGGGATCATCACGTACATCTGTGCCATCGCCGCGTTGATTTCCTACCTGTCTGGAAAACCACCATAAAAGCAACTACTACTACTACTACTACACACACACACACACACACACAAATGACCTCTCACACATCTCATGAATACTAACATAAATATAAAATAATCAGTGTTTGTCTGTCAACCCTACACCAACTGGAAAAGGACAGGAGAGCTGGTGTAGATCACAATCACCTCTAATTGGTCCTTCACTCCATATCGAAGATTCAGTCTGTAAATGTGATTCATGTTGTCTCCCGAGGACTTAAGTTACCTGCCATCCTTTCGATTTGTGCTGTCGTCATCATCACATGTTAAACATTACTGAAGTAAAAAAAACAAAAAAACTGGGACAACAAATGCAGATGTTATCGCAACACTGTAGATATCACTGTCAGTGGAAACGGAAAGAAAAGTGAGGGTCCGCCTGGTAGGAGCCGAGCGGAGGCAAGGAGACGGGCGATGGAGGCTGCAGATTTGTGAGAAGGTCGCAGCAAGGACGAGGCAGCAGCTAAATCCTGATGGACCTCGTTGTGCTGTCGCTGGTGGGGTGAAAGCTGGGGAAGGCTTTGAGAGCCCAGAGCTTTTTTTTTTTAATATGTGGAGCCAGAAGTGTTATTCTTTCAGAGAAGCCAGAATTTGTTGCTACTCTTCTGGCCAGAGAGAGAGGGACCCACAGGGAACACACTGCACATGCACATCCTGACTTCACATTCTGCATCACAATTGTTACCCTGCAGAACGGACTAAATCTGCTTTGTTTAATGCCAAGTTCAATAAGTATCTTTATTTTTGATTGCACAAAAAAAAACTAAATGAAAAAAACAAACATATAGTGCCATTATATAAGAAAAATAAATATAACTTCAGGACTTGTCAAATGAAGAGCAAAGTGGTGGTGTGAAACACTGGCTCTAGGTATAGACATGAAGGAGCTGCTTCTGTATACAGTGTTAGGAAACGATGACATAGACGAGAGGTGCAGACATGCAAGGAAAAGTGCCAAAAATATGGAAGATACTCTAAGGATGATCCTTTTATGAGCTGTTCCATGAATAGAAGCAACCATGGCTGTTGCTCCGCGCTCTCCAAATATAGATTCTGCTACTTTCTCCTTCAAAAGGACGACTGAAATCCTTCAGAAAGTTGCTTCTTGCCGTATGACAAACTCGAAAATGAAGTTGGCTACTCAAACTTATGTAAGCAAACAGTAACACTTTGTTCAGATGAGCAAAGGGGTAAAAAAAAAAATAAGAAAAAGGTTGCCTGGCGAGACATCTTAGCGCTCAGCCACGTGATGCATGAGTCAGTAAAATCTCCATTTCGGTCACGACAGAAACCTGCATGGCCAGTTTTTAGTTTGCCATGTACAAACCTGCTCTGAGCTACGATCACTTCCTTCATTTGGTCCGGAACTTTTGCAAAGAAACACAGCTTTGGTAAAAGTCAAACACTCTGGCCATATTGGTTTGAGCTTAAATGTGCCATTGAGGAAGCAGTGAACAAGGGACCTCAAAAGTAAATGATAAAAAAAAGACTGTACGGTAAAAGCTAACATTTTCTATTTAGATGTATAGTTTTTATAGTCTCCTGATGAACTGCAAATACTTTGTTTTCTGCAAACCCAGTGTTGTATCAAGACTGAGCTGATAATATGTAATGGTCACTGTCGGCGGTATATGTAGACACACCTGTGATATCTCAGCCATCGCCGTTGATGTGCTGCGGTAATGCTGCACCAACCCGAGTCAGCACGGCATTGTACAGTCCTGAATCCCGAGCCGTCCTCTGTCTCCACTGGACATTTGTGTCAATGAAAAATAAAAAAGACCCTTTGTTGTTACAGCTGAGTTACCACAATTAGTGATTTAGATGTGAGCATTTATTGTGGATTGACTCGACGGATCGCCTGACGGGCTCCAGTCAGATTTGTCTCACTTTGTATCACTTGTATAGATTGTCAATGAAAAGGTCAAAGGTTGTGGCAAATGAGTTAGTACAAGAGATATTTATTCCACTTCCTTTTAATACATGTAAATATTAAACAGAGAGAATAATCAATGAATCCCAATAAATGCACTTGTTTGACATTCATCTCTGCTCTTTTGTATTTTGCACCCTCACTTAACAGTTCAACGTCGTCTTCTCACAAATGTCCAGATGTAAACCTTACGCTTCACAGCTGACTACAACTCAACTGAAGCAAAGGTAGCCCAAAGTGGTGAATAAATGTTTTATTATAACATCAGTATTTAAAATCATTGTGAAAAAAAAAAAAGCAAGAGTAGAAAAAGAAGAGCTGCTGCTGCTGCTTCATCAGAGGGTTTTGGAGTATCGGCGCTTGACAGAGTCTCTGTAGAACTGGAAGATTTTCTCTGATGCTTTCTGACTGACTGCAATACACTGCTGCAGCTGGAGAGGAAAACAACAAATATGAAAGGTCTGCACTATAACTAGAGGCAGAGTCTGAAAAAGCATCTTGTTATCACCAGACAGATCACTGACAGAGTAAAGCGTCACTTTATGTCCAACACATCTGGAAATCACACATCAGGCATGATTCCCAAAAAAACAACATTTGACAATGTTGCACATTTGCTCATTTATTTACCGACCTCGTGTACTGAAAACGACCCTTTGGTGGATGACATGATTACTCTGTGTTCTGTGCTGTCAATAGCGAAGGTCATCACAGCCCGACTTTCCTGGTGAGAGGACACAGACGAGAACAAATTAACGAATTCAGCGAGGATTTAGGGGTGACCGTGGCTCACTGGGTTAAGAGGGTTGTCTGGCAACCGGAAGGTCAACGGTTCGATTGTTATAATGCGTTAAAGAGAAATTCTGTCCTCTTCTGTTCGGTCAAATCAAAGGCCTTTAAATGTACTTTTTTTATTCCTGTACAATGAAACATGTATGATTTTACTGATATCATGCCCTTCACCCTATGAGATAATTGCTTCCTCTCAGCTGAACTATTAAGATTTTCCTATGTGGGATGTATTTTGTCACGATGGCACTTTAATTAAATAAACAAAGGACTTTGGGGTGTTTTTTTTTCCACAACACAACCTCAGATTTACCTTTTCCTGCGCTGCAGTGGGGTCTGTGACGATTTGACCGTCTGCATCGATGGCACAGGTCACGCCACAGAACAGGCAGCTCATGGGCAGGCCTGCATCAATAAGAGCCATGCAGGCAGCATTCAAAAAGCAGGACAAGATCTGAGGAACAGATAAGGAAGCACACCGACCAGGAAACACCTCTAACATACCGGTTCAGCGCCCTACTGGCGGAGCTTTACTGAAGGATACTGAACCATCGTCATGTATCAGCTGAAGGATGAGGGTGAGGGAGGAGCGAGGATGAAGTGACAAGAGCAGAGATGCCTCGCAAGTTTCTCGCACACACTGCTCTTGTGATCGCTGCCTTACACCTAGAAAATAAAGAAATGTTGGGATACATACGCAAGTCAGACCGGACACAGACTGGCTCACTTACACCACCTAGTGATGTGTTGTGGTATGGCCGTTATTGCACACCACAAGTGGACAAGGCTGTAAAATTAACAGTTGCTAGCCTCCTAAAGCACCTTAAATTCCTTAAGTCCCACTAAAGAAAGCTTGTAGAAACATTTATTTCCGTACAACATAAATATTTTCCCCGTTATATATATATGTCCTAATTTCAACACTGCATTGTCACTAAAGTATCCTGCCTGTGTGTGCAACATTCAAACTGAACATTAACAAAGCAAATAAGCGCTAGAAAGTAAATAGAACAAATGATCACTCAAATAGAAGATTTAAACTGCCCACATTGTGCTAGACCAGCATTCAGGAACTGCACTAGACTCCCAATAAACACATGAAATAAAGCCGCATGATGGGAAATGAGATAATCACTTACTTGGCAGTCCCACTTTGGGCTGGATCAACACCTCCAGTGTTGCCCGGTCATAGATCTCCTTACTGACTTTGACCTCGGCTGGTCCGTAAGCGGCGGCCAACACACTTGTGTCTCCTTCACATGTGAACAAAAGACAGAGTTACTCCACTGGAAATACATTACTGATCCAGGTGGGGAAACTAGTAGTAGAGAGCAGACCTCTGACAGGTGTGTCTGCAACGACCACTGCTATAAACGTTTGATTGTACTCTATATGTGTAACGAACACGTTTGTCACTCGCAGGTCTCACACAACAGATGTGCTCTCATTTTAATCTCTGCAGATCTCTGCACCGGGTGTGTGCCGTCGCTCGTCTCAGCTCCGTCTCACGGGGTTAACCGCTACTCTAAGTGTGTATTTAGGCTTATTACTCGATTTATTTTCTACAATACCCATGTAAACGTGAGGTTGATGCACACAAATATAGCCACAGAACAACAATGCACTCAGCTGTGTGGGTACAGACAGACCGTCCAAAACAATTAAACTGAGCAAACTCAGTGCAGTACTTAAGCACCATTTTGAGATATGAGTATTTCCATTATATGCTACGTTATACTTCTTGCCCACCACATTTTGGAGTTACTAGTTACTTTGAAGATTTAGATTATTAACATTAAATATAAATTAAATAGGAAATTACGATACATTAGTAGGTTAATTAAGCTACCCATCAATATATAAAGTAATTCATATTGGCTCTACTTTGACCAGGTGCTACATTTAAGTGATGAACACACAATGGTTAGGACCATTTTTGAGTTAAATAAATAAAATATAGGCAAGAATGAAGTGTTGAAGTAAGGTAACCTGCACACAACCCAACATATGACTGACTTGCCCAAAGCTTCTTGATGCTAAAGTAGGCTAACACCAGCTCGAGCCCAGCTGCTAGCTAGCTGCCTCTTACAGTCGGCTCCGCGAGTCACGTTCCTCTGAGTCTGTGTTACCTTGAATGAAGGAAGCAGAGCCGTCAGGTCGAGACAGTAAACTCTGCTCGCAACCAAACTCTCTCAGAGTAACATTTGAAGAGCCGCACACTTCCATCATGCTGCTTGACTGCTGCTACCCATGGGCGTGATTAGTTTGTCGCGGGCGAGTGACGCAATCTGTTTTGCCGTTTGGGGCTCTTACTTATGACATAAAGCATAAAATACCTAAATGTATATTTTGATACCTCCAAATATTTTTACTATTGGGGATAAGCATATTGTATTGTACGGGTTGTTCGTACTCTTTATACAGTACTCATTCACTAGTTTTTGCCACATGAATCATTTTGTGAGATGTAAGTGTATGTATGTTAGTACACAGAATGAATATTTCTGTCTATACATACAGGGAGACGACACGTGAAGGTATTGACATTAGTTAGAGCAACCCTACGAGGAAAGTGACACTTGTAAACTGTCACACAATTAAGAAAACGTTGCAGCCCAAGCCATTGAGGCTAAATGGAGCAAATGTATTCAAGAAATATGTTGGAAAGTAACTATGTACATTTACTAAAGTTCTGTAAATAAAGTACATTTTTTAGGTATTTGTACTTTACTTGAGTATTTCCATATTATGCCACTTTATACTTCTAATCCACTACATTTGATAGCAAAATATTGTATTCAATACATTGTTGATAGCTTTAGATACTACCTGCAGATTCAGATTATTAATACAAAGTATAAACAATAAGCAATGATGTGTTATGATGATGATGATCATTATTGTTATTGATTAAGCTACCCATGTAGTACTTCAAATTAGCCCTTACTTTACTAGCTGCAACACTGAAACAATGCTTACATATTCTTTTTGGGCCATTCTGCAAAAATATCACTTTTACTTTACTTTTGGTATGAATGCAGGACTTTTACTTGTTACAGACTATTTATAAACTATGTTATTGCTACTTGTGTTAAAAAAAATGTGAGTACTTCCTCCACCACTGGAAATAATGTATCACTGCAGGATGTTCTCACAGCTTATAAAATGTGCTTGCAGTGTTTACAAGGTCACTGGATAAACTGCGTCTATGTAAGAGACAAAGCAATGCGGAAAAGGTTATCAGGTGGATCATTACACTCCCAAAACACGTTTGAGGCATTCATATTTACACAGGTCTGAGGCTTCAGCTTCAAGTGATTCCGGAAGCGACCTGGTTTACCTTCAAACTAAGAGTTAAGACTAAAGGTTTATTAAACGAATATGTTCTGTATTTAAGCCCTTTAAATATTTATCACGCTTATCATGTGGTATGTAACGAATTCCCAAGCTTACGTTACCCAGTAGTACACAAAGTAGTTATAATTATCCCCACCTTTACCAGCTGCAATATTAAAGTGATGTACACATGACTACATAAATTATTTCAAACAATGTATATGTATATATACATATAAATTGTATATATGTATATTATGTATATTTTATTATTCTGAAAGGTTGCCCTGCATAATGAGTACTTTTTCTTTTGGTACATTCCTTTTGTTTTGATGCTAGTACTTTGTAGGCTACTTCTATTCCAGTAGAGTTTTGAATGCATGGCCACCATGAGTATTCTAAACTGTGGTATTCTTACTTTTACCTTAGTAAAATATTTGATTTCTTCCACTGCTCTCGGAAGCTAAGTGCTTTTGATTACCTTGACTCTTAATGTGAAGGTGTGACCGGATGTGATGATTATTGTGGTCGACTCGACTCGGCCGATTGTAGCTATTCGCCCTGCAAGTGTGATTGTGGATGCTAATGTCAGTGCTGCGGATTGGAAGGCCATCAAACTGTTCCTGTTAGCTCGTTCTGTCGCGTGAATCTAACACATATACTGTAGCGTGTAACGTTCCTGGCGAGCTTGTGCACAAGCTAGCTGTGGACTGTCCCGATGGCGGCGGCTGTGAGGAGTATAAACAAAATGTATGGAGTGTGCTTCAATGCTGCTCGTCAGACGACAGGACTGAAGGCATTTAGGCTGCTTCAACACAGAGCCTTCAGAGTCGGTGTAAGTTTGAACACGGGCAACATTGCTGCGTTGTAACGTTGCTGTTCGATAGCTCGGGTTAGCTTAATAACATGGAAGGTCGCTTCAGCAACCACAGGGTTATTGGAAGAAGTCGTCTAATTTTGGCCCTAAATCAAAACTCGCGTTGTCACGTTAAATTATTAGGGGCGAGATAGTTAAGTGCAGATATACAATACAAACTTGTTGTGTTTATGGTCAGGATGAGAAATGTTTGGAGTTGGTGAATCATCAAGGATTCTTGACTGAACGTTATCGCGATTGGTTGTGAGCCAGCTAGCTTAGCGTTAGCTGACAACCTTGGCAAAACTAACGTAGCGTTATTCATCTACCGATCCTCCAACGCATCCGTATGAAGCTCAACCTGAAGGTGTCAACATGTTTGTGAATATATATGTTTTAACATGTAACCAGCAGCTTGACTGGAACTGGTGCACCTTGTGTTTGTTGTTGTGACTGAAACTTCGGTAGCTAAGCTAGGTAGCTAGCTGGCTGTCTAAAGCTTTAGCTTAGCTGCTTTCCCATTGGTCGAGCAAAGGGGCGTGAGGATCAAACTTCCGTCTTCAAGTTCAGTTTGAAGTGGAAATACCTTTCACGAAAACAAACGTAACAATTAAACTGTTATTGTCTGCTCTAATTAAATACAAATTCATTTTCTGGTGTTATTTGTGCTGTACTGTCAATCTGCTGTCTCTGTCAAATGTGCGTCACAAAAAATAACCTTTTCTATAATGTAGATAATGATGGAAAATTGTTAAAAAATAAAACATGTTGCATTTTTTATTCCTATAAATGTATTTTGAGTCACAAATGAAGTGTCACAATGTAATACTCAAGACGTAACTATATTTATTCAAGTGCTGTACTTAAGTTAACATACAACTTTTATGCTACTTTATTCATCTACTCCTTTACACTTTAGTAAATATTGTAGCTTTTGTGCCACTGCATTTATTTGATTCCTTATTAGTAACTTTGTAGATTTAGATTAACACAAAATGCAAATCAACTAATACATTATATGTTATACATTAATACACCTCTACCACCTGCACCCTTATAGTAATGTACACATTAATGCATCACTAATTATAATCCAGTTCTGATACATTTTAATCTTATTTGTATTATACAGCCAGGTACTGTACAGTATTGTTATGGAATTGAGATAGCATCCCATCAAATCCCCTGTTTAAAGCTGAAACATGTTAAATCACAAAACACACAATCAGTGACTAACAACTATTGCAGCAATTCTTTGAAACAGGAAATGTGGCTATATTGAAATCTGACTGGACCATTGTGGTGTCTATTTTAAAGATGGGCCCTGGCTTTGCCAAAGTGATGTTATTAATAAACAATGCTTGTATTCAATCTTTCAGGCCGTGCACCGGCAGCAACCCTTTGATGCATCACTGGAAAAGCCACAGTTCCCTGGAGCCTCAGCCGAGTTTGTGGATCACCTTGAGTTCATTCAGCCCAATGTCATCTCCGGGATCCCAGTGTACCGGGTGATGGACAGGCAGGGCAACATCATCAACCCCTCTCAAGACCCTCAGGTACGGTCAGCCTGCCTACGCCCCTGGTAATTCAAAGTGGCGCCATGACCTCCACTCACTTCATCCGTTGCTTGTTTTGTGCGTTTGTTCCCTGCTCAGCTCTCCAAAGAGACAGTTTTGAACTTTTATCAGAAGATGACTCTGCTGAACACAATGGACCGCATTCTTTATGAGTCACAGAGACAGGTGAGGTTTTTCCGCTTGAACAAGGAAACAGTTGAAGAATTTTGTGCAGGCGTGTTAACCTGTTTCTCTTACAGGGTCGGATCTCCTTCTACATGACCAACTATGGTGAGGAGGGCACGCATATTGGTAGCGCTGCTGCTCTCGATCCAAGTGACATGGTCTTCGGTCAATACAGAGAAGCTGGTGAGGACGGGACGGCGTGTGGTTTTTCCTAAAATAGTTCCTTTTCAGATGTAGGGTTATTTTTTAAAGTTTTTATAGTGATCAAAGCCAATTGCATTTACTTATTTCGTAGTAAATCTCTGCTCCGGGGCTTGTTAGGCAATTTTTTGCAAACAGGTGTGCCAGTGATCGCTTTGGAGCTCAATACTCACGCGACAGGTGACATCTGAGGAAAACAATGCTTCATTCAGATAGCAACACACCGATGTCGAAATGCATCCGTCTGCATTCAGTTGTTCAGTCATTTAGAAACACAATGATGTCAGTCTTTATTTGTAGATCCCATTTCACACAGCAGCAAAAATAAAAAAAAGTATAAAATACATCTCGAAATAGACCAGTCAGCGAACATGTCTTTAATAAAACAGTAATCAAAGAATCTCAACCCCCCCGCGCTGCGCTGCAGGAGTGCTGATGTACCGCGGTTTTCCTCTGGACATGTTCATGGCTCAGTGCTACGCCAACGCCGATGACCTCGGCAAGGGCCGGCAGATGCCTGTGCACTATGGCTCCAAAGATCTGAACTTCGTCACCATCTCCTCTCCTCTGGCCACTCAGATTCCTCAGGGTAAGTGTGTGTGTTAACCCTGTCTGTCCGTACACACACACACACACACACACACACGTAAATATACATTCATGCCTTCATGTGTCCATTCCAGCGGCCGGAGCTGCATACGCCATCAAGAGAGAGAACATTAACCGCGCCGTGATCTGTTACTTCGGCGAGGGAGCGGCCAGCGAAGGGGACGCACACGCCGGCTTCAACTTCTCCGCCACCCTGGAGTGCCCTCTGATATTCTTCTGTCGCAACAACGGCTACGCCATCTCCACCCCCACCAACGAGCAGTACAGGGGCGACGGCATCGGTGAGAAGCCTCGGCGTGGTTTCCTGCAGCGTTCGATTTGAAGTCCTCAGCCGCTCTCATGAACACACTTTTCGTTTTCTTTCTCCGACTGAACAGCCGCTCGTGGGCCGGGGTATGGCATGCTGTCCATCCGCGTCGATGGCAACGATGTGTTTGCCGTGTACAACGCTACAAAGGAGGCGCGCCGCAGAGCCGTGGCCGAGAACCAGCCCTTCCTCATTGAAGCGATGACCTACAGGTTAGTTGAGCACATGTTAGGCCTGCGCGAATGAAGGTAATAAAATAACACAGAGGTTCCAAGACGGCAACAACTTGATTACTCCAACCTTGTTGACATCAGCGCTTCACTCCTGCCGCGTTACCCATCACACTAAATCCCCGGGCACAACCTGGCTCACTAGAGGGAACTTAGTCGTTCAGAGGCTTCACTAAGAGGCAACTCAACAAAATAGCTTACATGTTCTTTTCTACATTATGTTTATGCTTGTTGAACAGGTGTATAAAAGTATTGGCTTGATACGCACGAACGTTTCCTTGAACTTAGTTACGGTAACAAGCCTAGTTGTTGTCAACTGGAGTAATCTTCACTTTGTCCACACTGACTTCTGTGTGTATGGTCATGTTTGTGGAGAGCTCCTGCACAGCAGGGAGAGGCTTCAGTGAGATAACGAATACTAGTCTTTACGCCCGGGGCCCGTGTAATACCGGGATTAGGCAACCATCTCTAAAAAAATACAAGTTTTCTGAGTTATAAAAAAAATATTTCATGAAATTATTTGATAGATTTCCCTCTCTAAATTGGATCTTGTATATTAAAAGTACATATTTGGGAAGCATTTGAATTTAAGGGAGTGGATTAGGTGACAGAATTTAAGGGATGCAATTTTAACAAAATGCTTTTTGACAAGGAACATTTGATGAGTTAAAAAAAAAATAATGCGCTTCCCCCTAAAATGCTGTGGTAATTAAGAATTCCGCTCTTTCCTCAGAATTGGCCACCACAGCACCAGTGACGACAGCTCGGCCTACCGCTCGGTAGACGAGGTGAACTACTGGGACAAGCAGGACCATCCCATCTCCAGGCTGAGACATTACATGACGGCCCGTAGCTGGTGGAGCGAGGACGACGAGAGGAGCTGGCGGAAGCAGTCTCGCAAGATGGTGATGGAGGCATTCGAGAAGGCCGAGAAGCGCCTCAAGCCCAGTCCCGAGCTGATGTTTACCGACGTGTACAAGGAGATGACCCCCAATCTGAACAAGCAGAGAGACTCCATGTGGAGGCACTTGCAGCAGTACAAAGAGCACTACCCGCTCGACCAGTATGTTAAGTAACTGCATTCACAGGCTGGAACGAGTTTCGATTTGGTGACTTAATGTGGGAGTGGGTGAAGATTGAGAATATGAATAACTGCTGCACACTTTTACTGTATTCATAAAAGTATAGATTTGATATGACATTTCTTTGAGGAAGAGGAGAAAAGATTGTGCTTTCAAAAACTATTGTACTTCACGCCTATGGGTTTTGGTGCCTTAAGTTAACAGATCTACTGTCAGTAGTCAAGCTCCTCTATAAATGCTATATCACATTTGAATCACAGTAATTACAACGTCACCAATGTTTTTGGTGTAGCAAAAACAGCTGATACAGTTTGAATACAAGAGAAACATACAAATCGAGCAATAAAGGATGGAAGTTGGCCCTTGTGTATGTTCCCTCTTCCTGCATCTGTCCTCCAGTGATTATGGTATTTAACAGGTTTCCTTGTATATGTGACAGAATAACGTGTTGTAGAACTTTCCTATTTAAATGGTTTTGGTATACACGCCCAAATTTTAGATGGGTGTACACTTATGTTACATCTTTGGTGTTTTGTGGAAAATAAACGGTGGAACTTTCAAAGGTCTTGGTTGAATTAGTTTTTATTCAAATTCAAAAAGGAAGTTAGGCCAATGACAGATCGAAAGTTTGTTCCATTTGACTTAGTGAACAATCTTGACCCCTGATGCTGAAATTCACACTTAAACTGCTGAATGCTTCCTCCATTTTTCAAGGTTCTATCCTATGATGAAACGCAGTATAACTTTTAAATAGAAGTGCAGTAACAGAACTGCTCTTTTAGTTCATACTATGTCGCTGGAGTCAATGTTTCCTCTTTTTTTGATCGCTGCATCTTTTGGTCACCAGTCCTGTTCAACAAGTCAACACGGGGTTGTGAATGCCCTTCCACAACTTCTTAATTTGCTGTGGGGAGCGCCGGTGAATCAGAATAAGCTTTTTATTTACACACAGATTCTCACGATTCTTCTCCACGATGTCAAAAGTCTGAAATTCTGCGTTTGCCTCAGGAGAAATCCCCAAAGCCTTAAAACACATCCCAGCGTAGACGTCGTCGATGGGGAAGAAAGGAATGACATGTGAAGCTGAATAGAAGCGTTGCAGCAATGCTCCAGAGATAATAAAACCGCCTCCACCAGCGTAAGCAGGGTATGGGCCTTCATAGAAGCTCAGAGGAATGTAGTATTTGTTCTTAGGGTCCCTGAGGGGACTTGCGCTGCTTATGACGTGTCCAACATACAACTGAGAGGCCTTCCAAGGCTCCAGAGACTGCAGGTAGCTGAGTAATGTTGGTGTGTTGACAAATACGTCATCATCCCCGCTAAACACAAAAGAGGCTTTGGGACAGTGTTTCACTGTCCACTGGAGGAACATGTTCATTTTGAGCGTCAGGTTCAAGAGGGATTCATGGAAGTCCCATTGTAGGAGGTCCCCAAAGTGTCTTGCTTCAAATGACAGCAGAGAGCTGAGATCAGGGTCCTCCAGTGGGGAGCTACCCAGCAGAAACACAGTGTGCACCCTCAGTCCATCTTGATACACCACTTCTCGACCCCAGGTCTCCCGCACCGCCTGTCTCTGCTCAAAGTTTCTAGGACTTGACTTGATAGTAAAAAGCAGAAAGGTCTGGTTGTCTTCCTTCCCTTCAGCAGAGATACACTTGTTGGGTTGATTGAGCAGGACTGGAGGGGACCTGCAGTTCATGCCCTGCAAAAAGTCCTGAAATAAGACCGGGTAGGAGGAGAAGTCGTGCACATTGGTTTGCAGATTATCTTGATTCGTCTGCCTGCAGAGAGACCAATCTGAGTCATGTCTGAAAGGATTTTCTCCCTTGTCCTGATTCTTGAGGGCCGAGTACAGCAGGCGGTTCCAGTAGGCTTCATTTTGAGGGATGGCCTGTCTGAGGCCGTCAGACACATTGAGGACAACAGGGGGAGGAAAGGTGAATCTCTCCTGTTTGGACGGTTGTGTTTTCACAACTCTGTCGTGGACCTGGAGGCTGGGCTCCTTCAGGAGGCTGGGCTCCTTCAAGAGGCTGGGCTCCTTCAAGAGGCTGGGCTCCTTCAAGAGGCTGGGCTCCTTCAAGAGGCTGGGCTCCTTCAAGAGGCTGGGCTCCTTCAAGAGGCTGGGCTCCTTCAGGAGGCTGGGCTCCTTCAGGAGGCTGGGCTCCTTCAGGAGGTCCTCTGCTCTTGCACTGAGACTGTCGGTTGTCTCTAGGTGTAGAGTCGAGTAGAAGAAGATCAGAAATAAGGTGACGAAGAGAACCAAAGCACTGAGGGTTTGAATAGGTCTCATTGGCTTGAGGCGAGTAAACCAAGCTGTGTGGTGTTGTCCTCAGGTTACACAGACTCTCTCAGCAGATGACACATTGAATGTACCTGCCAGCAGAAAAAAAAACGACAGCACAATTTAATGTTAATCAACACATTACAAGCTTTACAGCCTTGAACCTAAACAGAAATTAACAGTTAGATTCAATAAATATGGAATTTAATGCAAATTGTGAATTATACTTAACTGTAAAACATCTTTACCATGCACTATAGATGGAATTTCAGGAACAGACAACATTGCTGAGTTATCGCGACAGCATTATAGCACCTTATTCAACTGTATCAAAAGTGATTTGTATAACCTGGACAATTCTGAGAGTAATGAGTCAATGGCAATTACATCATATGAGGTGTACCAAGCTATAAATAAACTGTCTGGAAGTAAAGCAAGTGGTTTAGACCATATTACTGCTGAACACCTTAAATATGCTAGTCCGAGGTTAGCTCCTCTCCTCGCCATTTGCTTTACTGGCTTCATGATTCACGGCTTGTTACCAGACTCAATGCTGTCTGTTCTCTTAGTGCCAGTCATTAAAAACAAAGCTGGTAAAGTATGTAGCCTAGAGAATTACAGGCCCATTGCTTTGGCCAGCGTACTGTCAAAAGTCCTAGAAAGAATCCTGCTGGACAGAATACATGACTTTATCACCTCCACAGATAACCAGTTCGGCTTTAAAGCCAAACATGGCACTGACTTGTGTGTATATATTTATATATATATATACACATATATACCTTAAAAGGAAATTTTCAACAAATACAGAGGTCAAAACTCATCACTTCTTATGTGTTTCATTGATGCCTCCAAAGCTTTTGATCGTGTTAATCATAGTAAGTTGTTTTTCAAACTGAGCCAAAGAGGTGTCCCCACATACATTGTGAGAATTCTGGCTTACTGGTATGCGCAGCAGACTATGCAAGTAAAATGGGGTAAATGTGTCTCAGCCCCATTTGGGGTTAGCAATGGTGTCCGACAAGGGGGAATTTTGTCCCCAATTCTGTTTAATCTATATATTGATGATCTGTCCAAGCAACTGAAAGCCTGTAATACTGCATGATTGGAAATACTCTGGTTAATCATATCATGTATGCAGATGATCTGGTGATCTTTAGTCCATCTAGCGCTGGTCTTCAGCAGCTCCTCACTATATGTACTGTGTATGGTGTGGAACATGACATCAAATACAACGCCAGTAAGAGTGCTATCCTGATCTGTCGAACTAAAGAGGACAAATGTCTAAACTTCCCTGACTTCAAATTGTCTGACAATAATCGTGGTGTCTGTGGTGAAGTAAAATATCTCCGTCATTTTATAACAGAACACATGACCGATGATAACGACATTTCTAGGCAATGTCGTAGGATGTATGCACAAGCAAACAGTCTCTCACGCAAGTTTGGTATGTGTACAGATGGAGTGAAGACGTCTCTGTTCAGAGCATATTGTACACCACTCTACACTGCACACTTGTGGTCAAACTACAAAAAAAAGAGCTTACAGAGACTTCAAGTAGCTTACAATGACGCCATGAGAATACTGTTAAAGAGACCGAGATGGAGTAGTGCTCGTGAAATGTTTGTGGCTGCAAGAGTCAATACTTCCCAAACTGTTTTAAGAAATCTCATGTATAAATTTATTTGTAGACTGAATGACTCTAAAAATGAGATCATAGTTGTTTTAACCAACATAAGGTTTAGCACCACACGCTACCAGTCCCAGCTGTGGCGATATTGGTACAGCTGTCTCTTTGTAAGGCATTGCTAGGCCTCCGTACTTTTATTGTTTGTGTCTGTCTTTTTATGCATTTGTCTCTATGGACCCTGAGTCTGAAATAAAGTCTATCTATCCATCTATCCATCTATCCATCCATCCATCCATCCATCCATCTATCTATACTGCCATATATTCCTGTTGTTTTGTCAAAACTCACTTAAAGAGCTACCTAGTGAAATACTTGTTGCATATTAAAGTTACTAGAGTGTAGTGCGGCAACCCGATATAAAACAATATTATATAAAAGGACTGATAAGACAGTTTGGCACAGGACAAATTTAAAAAAAGAATGTTGAAGAACAGCAGGAGCGGCATGTAATAAAAACAAGTTTACTGAACCAAAGGGCAAATATGAAACCGAGGAATTTTAATAAACCTGAATTAAACTAAACAAAAGAAAGGTGCACACCAAATATTATAGAATGCCATTTACTATCTTTCCATATCTTCCTACATCTTAACCACCTCCCTGCCAAGAAGACACAAGGCAAACGTGTTTGCACTTTCCTTGATGGAGCAGCACCCCACCAGCACTTTTTGGAATACAGCTAATCTGCTTTCGATAGGCTACTGGGAGTTACTGTTAAATTGGAAATATACTTCTGCTTGAATTTGCCGCAAGTGATTTGGTCCTGCAAAAAGGAAGTCTGCAGGTTTTCCGTTGAGATGCACCTGAACATGCCTTTCTCCCTGGTGTTTAATTAGGAGCAAGCCGGCTTTGCATAAATAACGCTGCAGTAGAGTAATGAGGGGGTTATGAAACAGCGTGACAACAAACACAGCTGAGGTGTATGATTTAAGGCAACATTAAAGGAGGACACCTTGAATTGTATTTTTGCGATGTTATGTTCCCCCTCGTTTAATTAATTAACCCGTGTTAACGGATTTCATTTATGTATCAAAATTCCGTCAACCAGCAAATACTTCACAAACAGGCACAATGAAGACACCTGAGCGGCAGGCGAGACTCTTAACCCGGTGTTAAAAACAAATAAAATCAGTTTAATTTTCAATGTTGTAAAATACTTACTTCAACCCAAGATGACCTCCCACCGAGCTGAAGCTGAAACATATACGTCTGAAGTTGCAGAAGAACGAAATAGTATCCAGGAAGGCTTCAGATCCGACAGGCAAGGCAAACTGGTGCAAAAACCGCATCAATTAGTTTACAAGTCCATTTATTTCTTCACCGGAATTTGGGCAGCGATGCAAATACATGCAGGTGCAAGGTCTGAGCATTTGATCAGGTGATCACCTCCAACCGAGGAGCCGGCTGACGGAGGCCACGCCCAGGATGCTGCACGTCTGATCGGTTCATTCTAACGTTTGACAGGAAACATCACTGATGTACAAATGATTTAAGACCAATTGTCTCCTGACCAAGTCACCAGCAAATTAATTGACAATGCCTTTTAAAAGCACGAATCGTATTCCCTCCAATCTAACCACTCACATCCTGAGAACTTCACAGAATAAGGAAAAGTGGGTATTTTCCGTGGAATCACCTCAGAAACTCCTGACCTCTCTGCTTGAGGAGCTCTGCAGCGGTTAGGTATCGTTTGTATTTTAGCACCGTTTCGTTAACGATTTATTGAACCGGGAAGCCCAAATCTGTCAATATCTTTCTAACTTTACCTAAATCTCTGCAGCTGAGATGAAGTGATGTTTGATTAGAGGCGCCTTGATATGACCTAAAGCATAGTTGAGGACTCAAAAGTACCAAAGACCAATATGTCATGCCCTTTGGCATTTGGTCAGTTCATTTTATTCATACCTACAGTATAAGAGCATTGAGGTGAGCGGATTAAAAAGGCAAAAACAAATACTGCAGATGGTGGGCGTTACGTACCGTGCTGTGTTTGTGCTTTCCCTCTGTTTGCCCTGTGTCCTCTCGGGTTCCACCCTCTGTCCCGGATGCCAGCTGCAGCGGCTGATTGGACGCGGCTGCGTTCAGTCGCGATTAGCGGTGGATAAAAGGAGAGGAGCTCGTGACCGACAACCTCTTAACATATCAATCATTTACTCCAGCATACACAGATGGGTCTAAAGATCCTGAAGGGTAGAACTGGTTTTGCGGTCACCATACCATCCTTGCAATATGAAGTTAAAAGGAGAACATCAGATCATCTGTCTGTTTATACAGTTCAGTGCTGTTATAACGTTGGCCATTATAACAGCACTGCAGTGTGTAGAGGAGGTTCGGATTGAAAAGGTCGTTGCCTGTTCAGATTCCAGTTCAGTATTATCCTCATTACAATCATTCACATCTCATAGCAGGCAGGATTTAATTAATGAAACATACGAAACACTGTTCCGACTCAAGAATATGGGTATTTTTGTATCATTTCTGTGGGTACCAGCACACAGAGGGGTAAAAGGAAACGAAAGAGCAGATAAATTAGCAAAACAAGCTTAAGACAGACATTTTACTCAGCAAAGCAGAAGCTAAATCAATAATCAAAATAAATATTATTAAGGAATGGCAGCACAGTTGGGATGTAGGAGACACAGGAAGACATCTTTATGCTGTTCAGAAAGAAGTTGGCAAAGGGAGGCCAGCCAGAAGAAGCACCATAGAGGAAAATATGTTAACCAGACTGAGGATTGGACACACAAGGCTGAACAAAACAATGCAACTAATAAATAAACACCCAACAGGACTGTGTGAGCACTGCCAAATACCAGAAACTGTAGACCATATCATATGTCATTGCCAGAAATTCTCACTTGAGCGAGACAGGTTGAAGAGGAGGCTGGGAGTGGAGGAAATAAATCTAAAAGATGCATTAACCTTGGGGGCAGGAAACATACTTCAATATATGAAAGAAACAGGATTGAGCAAAATAATTTAAGTCTCTGAAATGGAGAACTCCTTTTCTTTTGTTTGTTTTTGGTTTTATTTTATTTAGTTTATTTTATTTTCTGTAATGGGATAGGTTAGAGCTGACAACCATTGGGCAACGCGTAGTGGTGGAGCTGCGTGTGTGTGTTGCTGTGAACCATTGGCACCTTTGTTCCAGCCGTGTGGGCTGTTGTCTGTAGGCTATAGTGTCGCTTTCTTTCTATAAGAAAGTAGTTTTCCTTTGCTGCCGTGCAAGCAGCTAGCCATTTATGCAATAAATACTCCTTTTGTTAAAACGTCATCATTGCTCGTTCTCTCTTTCCCCGGGGAATTTACAGTTACTCCCCGCATCCCTTAGATCAGTGATTCTTAACCATGGGGCCGCGAACGCCACCTAGATGGCCGCAAAAAACTTTCAATTTTGCACCTGTGGGCCGCGAGGGCCGCGGGACCGCATATGTTAACAATTGAAGACACCAGAGATATTACTGTTCTCCATGAGACGCTCAGTTACAATATAGCTTCCCACCACCTGGTGGCGGTAATGCGTCAGTCAGTTGTTTAACAAGCTACAATAAGCAGAAGAAGACACTCAGTTAGCCTCTAGCCCAGGCATGGGCAAACAAACCGTTGGGTTTTTTAATCCGGCCCGTCAAGTATTGGTACAAAATTGTCCAAACTATAATAAAGACTAGAGCTGGGCAGAATACCGGTTTTAATTTCCCATATGATAAGAGTTCTTCACACACCATTATACCGGTGAACAGTCAAAACAGCCGCTGCCTGCTTTCAACAAGCAGCTAAATGTATTCTTTGTTGCTAATGTACAGCGCTCAGCGCTAGTTGTCTTATATGTATTGAGAGGGAACCCTAGTCATGGTCATAACTTTATAACACAACAATTAACAACCCACAACGAATGCTCTTTAACAGAGAAAAACACAACAGCACACAACAGTCTGTGACACATAAACAATTTGTAACACTAATAATTGTACATTTATAAAATTTCATCGCCGAACTGCATGCTGGGTACAGCTCCGTCGCTCCAGTAACGTTACATTAAAAACAGAACAGAGCGATGCAGGATGAACAAAGACAGACCAGAGCAGTGTTAAATCATTTAATGAATCATGAACATTACATGATTTAACCACTTTTTCACAGAAAAAATGAAGACGACAGTGGTGCCCCCTAATGCTATCAAACGAAGCACTGAAGCCTTCAAAAATAAAGCGACACCTAGCGACGAAACATCCAACGCTCGTGGGAAAGTATGTTGGGCTTCTTGTTGTGTATGCAGGTTTACATACACATGATAAATAAATGTCTTTGTGATCATCACATTGTATCATCTCATTTATTTGACAAGGGTTATGCCTGTTCAACTCCGCGAGGACGCCGGCGTCCTCGATCCCCTCCCCTTCCGTTCCGTTCCTACGGCTTGCTTGCGCAAACAACGTCACAAAACATGGCCGTGTTTGGTATCCCAGCATGCCCAAAACCCTCATCTTTGCAAAGAAATCATCGATTTTCTTTCATTTTGTATGGATTTTTCACAAAAGAAGCCCAAACACACACTGTCCAAAGTCGCCATAACTGCTGCAAGTCGGATCTTGCAGCATTTCGATGGAAAAAGACACATTACAGACCCAACAATGTGCTAGCGGATGTTACCATGGAGCTAGTAGCTTCAGAAAATACTAGTACTTAAATTACAAACCTTATCTTGCTCTTTCATAAGCCGTCAACCAACGTATAACCTTGTGTAACTAAGCTACCCTCATACTCGATTGTGCGCTCAGTTGCAGCCATTACGCACAGTAAGTCCGCTACTTACATACCACGTCTTCAACCATATATAAATATATAGTTTTTGCAATTTGCATAAAAATAAAAGGAAAATAATATAATATCAAAATATAAAGGGAGAAACACCTTTAGTGTGTCAGACTATCATTTGGTTACCATGTGTCCATTTGGGTCTCCAAATATCCTTTTAGAGCTCCGCCTGGATCTCTTCATGGAAGAAACACTGTAGAATCGTCATACTTTGTCCAATCTTCTTCAAATTTGAGGCAGTTGTTCACTGATACTGTAGTTACAGCCCTATACTGTCATTTACCTGTACAGATACAGCCACAGGCAGTTATTTATACTGAAAGATACTTTTTTATTTTATGCGGACAAAAATCTTCAATTTGTACTGACTCCAAAGGCCCACTGCTCTGTTTCTATATGACCTACAGGTTTTCTGACACTTCTGATGCATATAGTCACAGTGGTTCAGAAGCTACAGCCATTTTAATTTGGGTATGTCATTTTAGGCGGTTTTGCTCCAAAATAGGGGTGGAGTTGAACAGGTAACAATATAGTTATTGAATACAAATCAAACCAAGAGTGAGATCAATTAGTTAAACTAATAGTGTTAATATTTGAATGGGCCCCGGGACACTTTGTACTTGAAAAGTTGGGCCCCCGAGGTCAAAAAGGTTAAGAACCCCTGCCTTAGATGCCAAAACGGGGAACGTAACAGTGGGAAAGACACACAGCATCTGTGAGGGAATACAAGGGGCTAATGGTCAAAGTATTTATATATGTATATACAGTATATATACCAGAAACACTGTAGGACACTAGTGTCAGTCCAGTGTCCTATCATAAGAATTTTAATAAAACTAAATTTAACTGAAGAAAAATAAAATTTAAACAAAACAAAGCTGCACACCAAATATTATAGAATGTCATTTACTGAACTATCTTACCTCTCTTCCTACAGCTTAACGGCGCCCAAACTGTCCCTGCTAAGAGGACATAATATGATAAAACTGTCCTTGATGGAACTGCTGATCCAACCCAACGTTCTAGGCAGAAACTCAACAAAAGTCCTATGAACCCATGAAACAAACAAATGAAACAGGCTTGTGTCATTCCTTCATTGATAATGTACAGATGACACATTAAATGTAACTGCCAAAAGAAAAAAAGTTATGAAGCTCTAGCATAAGTTCAGTCAGGAAGACTTTACTCTTGTATGCTTAGGCTTGTAATGTATTTCTCATAGATCTGCTATTCACTCCTCACGCATGCTGACTCATTATTTCCTGTCATTGTTCGATGCTGTCAATCATGAGATCAACTGTTTAGATCAGCTGGCCTCTATCCAACAGCACAACGAAACAGATACAGTGTGAGAGTATCATGCTACTGCTGTCTCTTTTTTAAATATGATTGTCTCTACCTTCATTACGCACATATTGCTGTTACGAACCCCTCCCCCTCCCCATCACCACCCACTCTTCACAGATCCATCAGGTTCATCAACTCATCATTCTATCAGCCTCACCAGCCACCACCACCACCAGTGTCTGGACCCCACAG